GGAGACAGAGTCTTGCTTTGTTGCCCAGGCTGGAGTGGATCTTAGCTCACTACAACCTCCGCCTCCTGGGTTCAAAGCGATTCTCCTGCCTCAGCCTCCCGAGTAGCTGGGATTATAGGCGTACACTACTATGACCAGCTAATTTTTGTATTTTCAGTGAAGACGGAGTTTCCCCATGTTGGCCAGGCTGGTCTCGAACTCCTGACCACAGTGATCTGCCCCATCCTGGCCTCCCAACGTGCCCGGATCACAGGCATGAGCCACTGCACCTGGCCAACAGTATTTTTTTCTAATACGGACCTGGATGACCCCTCACCAAACAATTTCCACGGGTTTCAAATACTCTTCGTTTTGACATGGATAATATAATTATCAAGTGCCTATCACATTATAATATTTATAAGCCAAAAAGCTAAAACTAAAGTAAGTTCAAATACTACTATACGATACAGAAAAAAATTTTTTCAATACTAAAACAAACTTCAAAAATAGACCCTATAGGAAAAATACAACTATTTAAAAGCATTTGATTAAAAATGAAATATTATAAAGCCAGACAAGCTCAACACTCTCTTTTACAGAAGAGAGTGTTATATTGTATTGGACAAGGAATCTCTGATTCATGCAGCTTTCCTGCCCACTAACCTTGATCAATAACCCCCCAAAACAGAAATCAATGTTTGCTTTAATAACAATGCAATGAAGAATACTAATCATAATACTATGAGATGGATTCACTCAATGTCGTTTCCAGTAAACAGAATCATTTTCCTTCCATAAGGCAGTGCATTACCAACTACAAGAATCAAAAGGGAATGAATTTACAGAGTGTAAGAACAACAATAAGAAAACCTGTAATAAAAGATCCCGTTTCAAGGTAACCCCGAAGTGTTTTAGTGCCTTTTGTTATTACAACACCCAGACACATGCACACACGTGTGCTCAAGTTTGTGTGAAAGGAAATATCTTGGGTTCCCAAAATCACTAAGCTAAAGGGAAAATTTAAGCTGGGAATTGCTGAGGGCAAACCTGCCTCCCATTCTATTCAAAGTCATCCGTCTGCTCACTGAGATTAATGTCTGTCTCATTGCCTCCTTCGGAAAGGTTTATCAGAAATTCAAAAGAATGCAAGCTTTCGTCTGTCACCTGCTTGTGCTCTGGAAGTCCCCTCCCTGCTTTGAGTCTTTCCACCTTTGCTTTCCAGACCAAACCGATGCGCTTCTTACATATACTGATTGGTGTCTCATGTCTCCCTAAAATGCATAAAACCCAGCCTGCCCTGACCACCTTGAGTTCCCGTCATCAGGACTTCCTGAGGCTGTGTCACGGGTACGTGTCTTTGAACTTGGCAAAATCAACTTTCTAAACAGTAACTGAGGCCTGTCTCAGGTTTTCTGGGTCCACACTTGCATTGCCACAACGGTATGTTCAGGGGTCCGCAGGAAGGACTAGGGTCCTAAATGCAGTGATACCTCCCAGTAACCCTGGTTTTCAGAAGCGAGATGGACACCTACATTACCAAACCAGGAACTGGAAGCTGCAGACAGAACTTTGAGTACTGTCCTTGTTATGGAATAGGGTGATCCAGCTACATAAAGTCTTGAAGTGTCCCCAGTTTCCTGGCCAGAGCTTCCCAGCCATGAGGTGAGCCACAGAAAATTGATGGCTGGTGATTTATTGGCTTAAAATCAGTTACCGGTTTTGTTTTGTTTTTTACAATGATTCAAAGATTTAAAAGAGTTGAAGGGATAGTTAGACAGTACTGGTTGGGCCATCTGTCAACCTTGAATTCAGGGTTATTCTAGACCCAGGTGAGGCGTTCTTCTAACAGCAGCAGCCAGTGAGCACGTGGGAGGGACAAACTGCCCGGGACCCTCCACCTGCCTGGGGAACCCCGAGGAGGCCCACTGACCGCCTCAGAGCTTAGCAGAAAAGTTCTTTGTATGCATGTATAGTTAGTTCTTTTGATTGATTTTCCTCTTTTTTCATAATTTTTATATGATCATGGAAGATTCATATTGCTTTTATCATTCTTTTAATTTTTTATTTTTTTAATTAATTTTTTTTTTTTTTTGAGGCTGAGTCTCACTCTTGTCACCCAGGCTGGAATGCAATGACAAGATCTTGGCTCACTGCAACACCACCTCCCAGTTCTTTTTCTGTTGTTGTTTTTGGTTTTTGGTTTTGGGGTGGAGTCTAGCTCTGTCACCCAGACGGGAGTGCAGTGGTACGATCTCAGCTCACTGTAACCTCCGCCTCCCAGGTTCAGGCAATTCTCCTGCCTCAGCCTCCCCAATAGCTAGAACTACAGGTACACGCCATCACGCCTGGCTAATTTTTGTATTTTTAGTAGAGATGGGGTTTCACCATGTTGACCAGGCTGGGCTCAAACTCCTGACCTCAGGTGACCTGCCTGCCTCAGTCTCCCAAAATGCTGGGATTACAGGGATGAGTCACCGTGCCCGGCCACCTCCGGGATTAAGTGATTCTCAGCCTCTCAAATACCCCCAATTACAAGCACCCACCACCACTCGTAGCTAATTTTTATATTTGTAATAGTGACAAGGTTTCACCATATATGCCAGGCTGGTCTCGAACTCCTAACCTCAAATGACACACCCTCCTCAGGCCTCCCGAAGTGCTGGGATTACAGGCCTGAGCCACCACCTTGCCTGGCCTGCTTTTATCTTTATTTTAGTTCTTATTATTGCATTTGTTAGACGAAGAAATGGGAGTGATTTTTTTAATCAAGCCTTTCAACCCACTTTAAATTACTGTACAAATATGACAATTTTCTAAGTATGCCTTGTGAAAAGGCACAATGACAACAAATTTAGTTCAAAGATCATAGTGGGCTTTTATTAGCAATTCTAGAATCGGGCAGCACCTCATTGTCCGAAACAGAATAAGTGTTCTGATGAGCTGAGCGGAGGTGGTGTGTTTTAT